TTTTTTACTGGGTGTAATGGTAAGTGAGTGGAAGTTATACTCCCTGCCACCAGGTGGCAGCAGGGAGGATGCACCCTCCTTATGTGAGTGGGCGGGGTTTGGTTGCATGTGATCAGGTGATGAACCTTTAACATGTCACCGTGTACCTGGATGCTGGGAAGCTGGTTGTGCTAATAAATAAGTTTCGTTCACTAATGAACCCAAAGTTTTTTCATTAGCTCATTGACTGGCAGCCATTTTCAGAACAGAGAGTCGCTCACTGCCAGAGTTTTTTGAGCATTTTGACTGATTTTTCAAGAGCCACAGAATAGTTTGTGCTATGACTATGTAAACACCGAACACACCAAAAGAAAGAGTGGACTCTCTTCTTTCATCAGGAAAAAAAAATTGTTTCTACCATATTCCGTTCTTTTTTGACGTGCGTCTCACCGGCGACATGTTCTCTCATAGAAGCGTTACCTTTTTCTTATTTGCCTACAGTCTATGCTCATCTCCCATCAAAAGTGGCACTGCCCCCTAGAGGGTCAATTTGTTACTACATACTCTGTCTAGAAGCCTGATATTTACGGACAAGCTTTAGCAGATCGTCCCCCAGACACTCTCGTTGAAAAACATAAAAGACGTCTATAGACGCCTTTGGCAGTGAATGAGTTAAGATAAGAAACATTACACTGGGTTTTAGCGTGTTTTTCTGTCCCCTCCAGGCCCCGGATGAGGCCGCCCTGAGGGGCCTCTCGGAGAGCCTGGAGCAGGCCGGCGTGAGCCACAAACTGTGGGTGGAGCAGCCGGAGAACATCCCCACCTGCCTCGCCCTGAAACCGTACCCCAGAGAGGCCGTGCAGCCGCTGCTGCGCAAGTTCAAACTCTTCAAATGAAGATCCGAGTCCGTGGGTCCAGACCCAAACCAGACGACGCGTTTTGCCCCCAAACTGCGTTGGTTTACGGCATTAAAAACATGAGAACGTGCTCGAGAGTTTCCATTTGACTGATATCCACAAAAGTGAACAAAATGTCTAACCTGCTTAGTTATTATTCTGTTAATATGTTGAATATAGAAGCTCTTTTAAGTGGATTTTAGCTCTCAAACTATGAACCATCGTTGTGTAACATAATTTATTAAGTTAACTTAAGTTATTTCAATTCATATCTTTTGGCTCCAAAACACTCCTTTGAGTGTTTTAGTACACCATAAAAGCTAAAACAAGGCTAAAAATGACCATGAACACAACATAAAAAACAAAGCCATGGCTAAATTCTCCAAATATTAACTTAAAAGCAAAAACAAGGCTTAAAATGACCAGAAAATAAACCAAAAAAGCAAAAATAAAGCTAAAAAGGCCAGAACAAAGCAAAAAGAAGCTAAAATGACCAAAATAGAGCCAGAAGAAGAGTTCCAGTGTTCCCACAGTGGGTCAGAACCTGGATGAAACCAGGAAGCAGCGTGTGGACGTTATCTGAGCAGAAACGGGGAGGAAAAGCGTCGCTCTGCCAAAGGAACCGGAACTGGACTAAAAACCAGCAGCTCTGATGGAGGGACGGATCCTCACTCCTCTGAGTGTTTTAGTACACCAGAAAAGCAAAAACAAGGCTTAAAATGACACAGAAAATACACCAAAATGCGAAAACCAAGGCTAGATTGACCAAATATACACCAAAAAAGCAAAAACAAGACTTAAAATTATCAAAAATGCAGCAAAAAATCAAAAACGCCTAAAATGAGCAACAAAATACACTAAAAAAGCAAAACCAAGGCTTAAAATGACCAAAAATGCAAAAAACAAAAATAGAGCTAAAAGGACCAGAATAAAACCCAAAGATGCTAAAATGACCTAAATAGAGCCAAAAGTCGTGTATTTAACAGCAGCTAAAAGCTCCCAGGGTTCCCACAGTGGGTCAGAAACTGGATGAAGTGGACTGACCCCCAGCAGCTCTGATGGAGGGATGGATAACAGGGGGCAGAAGAATACACAAAAAAAAGATCCTCCAGAGTGGGATCATCTGACAGAGAACGGAGCCAAAGGCAGCAAAATCCACAGAAGAGCTCTGGGACGTGCTTCAAGAAGCTGGAGAGCTTTTCCTGGAGGATCCTCACAGAGTTTTTATTGGTTTGCACACATAGATACAGACATTTTTACTAAATGTCAGAATGATGTCAGTCAGTTGTATTTCTTTGCGATTTGGACCAAACAGTTTGTTTTTTTAAACATCAGACTGTGATATAAATTGTTTTCTGTTTTTCTCAGTTTTCAAATGTTGATTTCTTGATTTTTTAATACTAATTAGAGTTCAGTTGGAGTTATAAGAGACACATTTACATTTGCAGCTAAAGCTTTGGGCCTCATTTCTGCTGTTGAACAGCTAGCTTCCTCCCCAGATGTTTTCAAATGTAAAAATAATACTCTGGAAGATGAATTGCCGTCAGAAAACCAATAAACAAATAAAAGAGGATTCCTCTGCTTCACTGAACACACTCAGTTACAAAATTACCTACAAAAACAACAGTCAGTAGGGGGGCATTTATCACTTATTTTAGACCTATATATATATACATATAGTTACTTATGAATATATTTATCAATTTTCTGTGTGGAATTCTGTATATATATATATATGCTGTTGTTTTATTTATGGAGCTAGTACCAAAAATAATTTCCCTCTGGGATTATTAAAGTATTTCTGAATCTGTATATATATATGTATATATATGTGTGTGTGTGTGTGTGTGTGTGTGTGGTGTGTGTGTGTAGACATGTATATCAGAATCAGAAATACTTTAATAATCCCAAAGGTAAATTATTTTTGTTACTGGCTCCATAAATAAAACAACAGCATATACATATATATCCATCCATCCATCCATTATCAATACCGCTTATTCCCTGTTGGGGTCGCGGGGGGAACTGGAGCCTATCCCAGTGGTCATACATATATATATATATATATATATATGTATATAGACATGTATATAGACGTGTATATAGCATGTATATATGTATATGCTGTTCTGTTATTTATGGAGTTAGAAACAAAAATAATTTCCCCTCTGGGATTATTAAAGTGTTTTTGATTCTGATTAAATCTATATATATATTTATATATACATACATATTCATTCTGGGAGCCTCCAGTTTCCCCAAACCGCCTCTTGTCTCTCTCTGGTGTTTCCCGGAGGCTCTTTTCTGCCCAGATTCTCTCTCTGTTCCCGCATCTGCGGCATTAATCCCGCACGGCCCGCACCGGCCGGCCGGGTCCCTGTTTTTTTACGTGCTGCCCGCGTCGCGACTGCGCATGCGCGCGCACCATCAGCCCTGTTTATTTGTGTTGAGAC